ATGTCATATATATTTAAATGTACAGTATGGACTGACAAGACGGAGATGTATGTCAAAGACGATGTACCATGTTCAATGTTTTTAATCTTTTCTTTTTTCTTTTGTATTCAATAAAAATATATATAAAAAACTTTTTTTTTCCATCAAAGGCCTGAGAGTCTGGCACACAGGGGTCCTCTCCTTGCTCCAGGAGAGAGACCAGACCAGACTTTGGAATAGAAAACTCTTCATAGAAAAAAGAGAACACAGCCTCATTAGGAGGCATCCTGCTTTTTTTTTTTTTTTTTGGGAAGATATTGATGAATCAAACAAGAGTACCAGACCTGCTCTTTCTGTTTCCCACAATGCCTACCTAAATGCTCTTGGAAGACCACAGATGCCTCCTACCATATTGCTTATTCAAATATGTAGCATTCTCCAGACATATTCCCTTACAACAAATAAGCTTTATTCAGTTCTATGACTCTTGGTTATTTTGTTTTTTAATGATTTTAGAACTCTTTTAAAGAATACATATGTCAGAACCAGCTGCATGTAGACCTTGGCCCAATTTCAAAATTCAGCTATTTGAGCCCGAGCCCGTCTACATTTGCCTTACATTCTGTCTATTTTTTACTATGCTAATTGTCTAAGAGTTACTTTTATAACTGAGATAACACACATTAAATAAACAATACTCTTGTTAGTAAAAAACTAAGATCAACCCTGGATTCATTAATGTATGCAAGTAACATACATGTGTTTATGTATTCTGAATGCCTTTCTTTAAGTCCAAAAATTGTAATGTTTTTCTGGAATAATAGGATTTGTTCTGAAGAACTAGGTATTTATATGCTAATGATAGTTAGATACACCATCTTTTGTAGTAGCTAGAAAAAAATGCCTTAAAGTTTCCAGCAAATTGGCAATAATATGAATAAAGCTACTGAGTATATGGTAAGTTGCCATGTTAATAGTATTTAATTGATTTCTTTTAAAGGCATTAAAATTAAATAGAGGGTCTTTTTTTCTACTTCCTACTGTCAAGCTATGAAATTTACTATCATTAGGACCGCCATAGTGCTTCTAGCTGGCCTACAGTTATGGGGGGGGGGGAAGGGAGAGTTTGGGGTCCAAAGTTCTCTCTATCAGCGTGAGACCTGAAGCCACTGAAGAGATGTTTTGGTAAACTGAAGTTTCTTCTCATAACAATTGCTGGAAGATTAATTGGACAATGTGACCTGAACTGTCAGAGAGGGGAAAGAAAGTTTTACTCTTTTAATTATCTGTTTCCCGCCCTATTGAAAGAACTAGCTTTTATTCTATCGTACCGGTGTGCTATGTCTAATAAAGTTTAGATTAGAGATCACAATGTCTCTGTGTTTTGCTTCATTGGGCTTTTCAGCCGGAACTTGACACCTACTCATTATTTTAAAAATCCTGCTCCTTTTGATACACTATTCAAAGATTCTTTCATTCCCAAAAGGTTTGAAAACAATCTAATATTGGATTTACATGGCCACCCATCTTGAATACATGACTCCAAGCAACTACCAATATTAAAAACAATAAAGCTATAAAATCACATGCAAAATATTAAAACACATTTACCATCTAGGGAATGACTTCAACCCTTCAAGTGATTGTGAGCAATTCCTAGGTTAGCATCTGATCATGTTCATATTGGAGTTGAAAGATCATAATCTCTGGGTTTTCTTTGCTGTGCACTATCCAGAGTATTGCAATTGGGATAGTGCAGGTAGTCCTCACTTACCAACTATTGGTAACTGGGACTAGCAATTTGGTTGTCCAGTGATCTCGTCATAAAGGGAAATGTCTCATTGCTCCAACTTATGATGTTAGCTCATCAATTCCTGTTGTAGTCATGAAGTAAATCAGCCGCAGTTGTTGAGTGTGATGTCATGTGACTGCAACTTGCAACTTCCTGCCAGCTTCTCCATTGAGTTTGTTTGTTGGAAGTTGGCTGTGAAGGTCACAAATGGAGATCATGTGACCACTTGATACTGTGATTGTTGTAAATATATGCTGGTTGTCAAGTACCTGAACTACAGTGGCCACAACTTTGAAGAACAGTCATAAATCTTCTTTTTCAGCACCATCAGTTGCTGAACAAGCAGTTGATATGCAAGGACTATCTGCACATAAAAATAGTGAAATAAATGAAATATCTGCGTCACCACAGCTAAACCAAAACCCACAAATAGTCTGCCCAGACCCTATTATATAAGAATGGTAAACTGAAAGACACTGGGACAATTAAGATTGACTCTTTGACAGAATTACACTAGAACCAGCAGTACACACACCCATGCCCCTCAAGCCCACCCCAAGGACCAGTCCCCCATAAAATAACCTTTCTGGACCCCATTTTTGTGGTTAGAGAACTCTTTTGCTTTGGGGAATAAATAACTCTCTTGTCCTCACAGTGTATCTGGGNTCACTGAAACTTTAGATTCAGGAGGGAAGGAAAAGCACCCACTCACTTGGGGGCAGTTCCACTGAAGAGGAACTGAAAACTAGTATTTTAGTTTAATGTCGAGGAATGATCTCTTTTGTATGACTTGCTCCCTGTGGATTGCTTAGATTAGAATATGGAAGATGCAGATGGTTACATGGTAGTACAACCTACAAGAAATGTCTACATGGACGCTGTTCCCAAGACAGAAGGTAATGATTGAATTTTCTGTTTGTTTTAGCTGGCTATTTAATAATAATGTTGGTTATATTGATCTTAATAAAGATAGACCACTTGGGATGAAGAATTACAGTAGCCCTTTCAATTTATTTAGTATCCTTCTGGATATGTTGTGATTACAGTACATTACAGTGGGCAGGGTAGAGTTTGAACAAAATTACAAAGATGCAAATTCACAACTATCTCACCCATGAAGCTCAGCTTATGCTAATTATGCAAACAGCATAAATTACATAGGCAATGTGTGTAAACTCCAGATTGGTGACTGGATTTTCATGATAGGGCTGTGGATCAGTTTATCAAATGGCTTCAGTTTACATTAGATTGTAATGGAGTGATGTCTTAATCACAATCTTTAAATGTGGTTTGTTAGGGTTTATCCTATCTTGGCCATAGTCAAGTATATCATCAGAACCCAAGTTAATGGCTAGGGAATGATTAAGCTGCTCTTGGTCTTCTAAAAAAAATTCTGTAGAAGGCAGAAATTTAAAACATGGTTAATGGTTGAGTGTTCTGCATGAAGATGTGCTTAGCCTGCTGTATGGGTTCAATTCATAGGCAATATAATTCACCATTTTGGGTAGAACTAAAATTGTGGCACTTCAAATTCTTCCAAAACTTGCAGAATTGCCAAAAATAATTCCAACCAAAGTCCTTTCTGGTGAAAGGAGAGGTGGTCATTTGCAAATTACCTTTCTCTACCCATTCAGCCTTTCCCCCCCTCTGCCTCCTCCGTATTTCCCATACTCTCCGTCTCCCCCCTTTCTCTCCCCGCCGAGGCCACTTCACACGTCCGTAAGGCAGCCGCACGCGAGCGTGTAACCGCCCCTAGAACGGGACAGTGTTGCTCTCCTTCTCCTCTTCTCCTCATGACTCCCCCTCCCCTCCTCCTACCTACATTGCCCCCCACCTTGCCCTGTAACTGCAACCCCCTGTCTACCTGATCTTTCCCTTTCCCCTCTTTCTGAACCGTCCTTCCCACACTTCCCATCTCCCCCCTTCTTTCAACTGAGACTCCTCTGTTCATCCGCAAAGCGGCTGCGCAGGAGCGCGTGACTGCTCCCAAAGCGGAGCAGCATCGCTCTCCCTCCCCTCCTCTTCCCACGGGAGATGTCGTGTTTGTTTTCAGGGCGGTTGTCCAGGAACGTGTGGTTGTCCCTGCAACGCCTCAGAGCTGTTCGTCTCTCTCTCCCCGTGCCTCCAAACGCGCCAGGGTTTCCGGGGATTCCAGGGAACCTGTTAACCGATTAGAGTCCCCATTCCACGCCGTTGCTTCTTTCTGTTGAATCCTCATCCGGGAGTGAGTGTGGACTCATATGGCGGAGCGTAACCATCAGTTTGACTTTGAGAACACACGGGTTTTAACTGGAGATGCCACTAAGGGGGGCCGGTTGGTCAAGGAAGCCTGGCTTTCTGATGGCGATTCTGTCAACCGCCACATCAACCTGCATTCGACCCACCTGGCACTAAGGAGATGGGGCAAAAGTCATCGATGGACCCATAACAGTCAACCCCGTCGACGCTTGCAGGATCAGGGCGACGGTGACATAACCGCTCACGAAGAGACATCAATGGAATCCCGACGATCGGTAGACACCCACTTATCCACTACGTGTGATCGACAACGATCTCCCACCAGCAAACAGCTGAGGGATTTTCTGGATACCACGTGCAAAACAAGGCATATGGAATTGAGAGAGCTACACACATCAGGCCCATGCCGGCCCGCTAGTAAATCTCCCACGCGACGATGGAACGAAGGAGCTGGTAATATCAACGGTGCTACAGGAACTGATGATACCAGTAAAAGTCCTGAGACCGACCCCTGGGGGAATCCGGAATTCGGCGCCATGAATGCGGGGGGGGGGGAGGGTGCGATTTGGGAAGGATTCTGAACGCAGGGCTGCCTGTAAGATCCGGGAGGGAGAGCTCGAACGGAGAAGAAGTAGAAATGGTGAAAGGAATGGAGCTTGCACACGCAGTGAGGGGGTGAAGGGAGCACACGCCTACCCCATCAGTGCACGTGAGACTGGGGAGGATGAGTACATACACCAACACCATGCGGCCCCACGAACAAGATGTGGAGGGCCGACTGTGCGCAATGCAAACCGCACCCCACAGCATGGGGAGTTAGTAAGGGGGAAGACGAATGAAGGAAGTGTAGGGACAGAGGATATAGGGGAATATATTGAAAAAGAAGAAGAGTGCGGTAACTGCAGCAGTACCACCCAGATCGGAACAACGGCACATAGGGGAGGAGAAGAGATGCCATCTAATACCCCCCCAACCTATATAAGAGAAGTGACGAGTGATAGCAATAACATAGCTAGGAGGAGAGAGAAGGGAGGAAAAACTATGATGGATACAGTGAAAGTAATGAATATCAAAGAGAGTACAGTCGGGCAGAGGGAAGGGGGAAGAGGCACCACAGCACGGTATCAGATTAGGAGCCCCAATGCAAAACTTAATGAGGTGACACTTAACAATCCTTTAACTAATGGGAAGACAGTGGATACGGGGGAGAACATCTCTAAGAGAAGGGAGGGAGGGAAGGGAACTTCAGCAGGCAGCAAAGCTGACGTCATTGAAACAAAAAGAGCAACCTTTAAATGTGGGAAAGGAGACCAAAACACAGGTGTGGTAGGAATAATTAGGTCACAGGCTGATTGGTTGGGGCCGGTCACGCGCTCTAGGAGCCGAGCGCAGATGCTAAACAACCTTACTTAAGGCACACCCATAGACTGGCTTGTTAACCTGATGATGCTGGGAGCTCCCAGCGAAAGCTTGGTTTTAAATTAAAGTTTTAAACTCTTTGTTCTCCTGGTGATCGTGAGTTTTTTTTATCTATTTTATACTATGAATTTACCCAGGAGTCACGTCTTCAAGGATATTATTGAGCATATATATATATATATATATATATATATATATATATATATATATATATATATATATATATATATATATATATATTAGTTGTGTTATGTTGTTTTACTGTTTTTACTTTATGCATGTTATTATTTTTGAACTTCTTTATAATAAGAAACATCCTTCCCTACAGGGTTCAAGGCAAATTTGGCTCTTGCTGATATTCTATTCCTCTTACTCATGAGAAAATACTATGGCAGCTTATTGGAGTAGGGGGTGGAAACAGTGGGAAACTTTTTTTTTAAACTGCAAACTTTTGAGCTGGTAAATAAAATATAATAAAAAATAAAATAAAGAAAAAAATACATGTGAATAAAATAAAAGACAATGGATGGAAACTGAATAAGGAGAGAAGCAACCTAGAACTAAGGAGAAATTTCCTAACAGTAAGAACTATTAATCAGTGGAACGACTTGCCTCCAGAAGTTGTGGTTGCTCCACCCTTGAAGGCTTTTAAGAAGAGACCGGACAACCACTTTTCTGGAATGTTATAAGGTCCCCTGCTTGAGCAGAGGGTTGGACTAGAAGACCTCCAAGGTCCCTTCCAACTGTTGTTCTGTTCTGTTCTAAATAAGTAACCAAGAGGTAACAACAGCAGACCAGAAACGGTATAATATTAATCATGTGGGCAAAGAGGAATTAGATGGAGGAAAAGGAGTGGGCAGGCAAGGAGGAAGCATCTGATGAAAGAATATCAGGATGTTGGGGTACAAGTTCTGCCCCTCTTATATTTGCAGAATTTGTGGTAAAATGGCACAGTGCTCTGTTTGTCTTTTTGACAAAAACCACCAAAACTATAGACACCCACAATTACAGTATATCAAAGGATTGAGAACCTCCTCTTCTTGCCTAACTTTCCAGGAAGAAGTGTACCCAGTTACGCAATGTAAGAGAAACTTGAAAGTCTGCCAAACCTGAAATGATTTTGTCAGAAATATTTCTTTGTTGACTAATCAATTTCACTCCTTCCAAAGTTTCCTTCCTCAATAGGAGAAGTTTCTTCTTTTTAAAGCTAATTCTCTGGGAGATGAAAAGTTTCTTTTTTTATTGTATTGTTAAGCCATTTGATATATTGTTGAAGGTGCCATAGGCTGTTGCCAAGCATCCAATTTTTGATCACATGACCATGGAGATGCTACAATGGTCATAAGGGTGAAAAATGGTAATTAGTAACTTTTTTCAGTATCTGTTATAACTTTGAATGGTCATTAAATGAACTGTTGTAAGTCAAGGACTACCAGTACTCCATTGTTTTCTTGGCTTCTCATCTATCAGAAACATTTCCATAGTTGAAAATTCTTCTTTAGTCTTTATTACAGTTTGTGTTAGTTTTTAATTTTCTTTGTAAAACTTTTAATAGCATTTAGAAAGATAGACAGATGGATGCTAAGTAAGTAGATGTTGGGTAGTGATAAGTAGAATAGAATGGAATGGAATGGAATGGAATGGAATAGAATAGAATAGAATAGAATAGAATAGAATAGAATAGCAGAGTTGGAAGGAACCTTGGAGGTCTTCTAGTCCAGCCCTCTGCTCAAGCAGGATAACCTATACCGTCTCAGACAGGTGAATGTCCAGTCTCTTCTTAAAAATTTCCAGTGATGGAGCACCCACGATTTTTAGAGGTAAGCTATTACACTAGTTGATTGTCCCCACTGTCAGGAAGTTTATTCTTAGTTCCAGGTTGCTTCTCTCTTTGATCAGTTTCCAACCATTGTTTCTCGTCCTTCCCTCTGGTGCTTTGGTGAACAACCTGGGCCCCTCTGTCTTGTGGCAGCCTCTCAGATATTGGAACATTGTTATCATGTCTCCCCTATTTCTTCTTTTCTTTAGACTAGCCAAACCCAAGTTCCGTAGCCATTCTTCGTATGTTTTAGTCTCCAGGCCTTTGATCATCCTAGTTGCTCTTCTCTGAATTCTTTCCAAACTCTCAACATCTCTTTTGTGATAAGGTGACCAAAATTGGCTGCACTATTCCAGGTGTGGTCTTACTAGGGTTTTATAAAGCAGTAATAATACTTCGCGTGATCTTGATTCTATGCCTCTGTTTATACAACCCAGGATTGTATTAGCTTTTTTGGTTGCTGTTGCACACTGCTGGCTCATAGTCAAGTGATCGTCCACTAAGATTCCAAGGTCCCTCTCACATTACTGTTTTTAAGCCAGGTCTCACCCAATCTGTATTTGTACCTTTGGTTTTTTCTGCCTAAATGTAAGACTTCGCTTTTTTCCATATTGAAACTCATTTTGTTGGATAGGGCCCATTGTTCAAGTTTGTCATGATCTTTTTGGATCCTGAGTTTATCTTCTGTCTTCTACTCCTTCAGTTTGATGTCATCTGCAAATTTGATGAATTCCCCTTCAATTCCCTCATCTAAGTAATTTATGAAGATATTGAAGAGTACTGGGCCTAAGACAGAACCTTGTGGTGCCCCATTGTTTACTTCTCTCCATGTGGACGTAGTGCATTGAGGATTACTCATTGAGTATGGTTTGTTAGCCAGCTACAGATCCATCTGGTGGTGATGTTGTCTATGCCACCTTTTCCTAGCTTACCAAGGAGTAGGTTGTGATCTACCTTGTCAAATGCCTTACTGAAATCTAAGTATATTACATCCACTGCATTTCTCTGGTCTACTAGTTTAGTCACTTTATCGAAGAATGAAATGAGATTGGTTTGGCATGATCTGTTTTTAACAAACCTGTGCTGGCTACTAGTTATGACTTTGTTTGCTTCTAGTTGTTCACAGATCTGCTTTTTGATTATGTTTTCTTGGATCTTCCCAGGTATTGATATTAAACTGACTAGTCTGTAGTTTCATGGATCTGTTTTTCTTTCTTTCTTGAAGATGGGGACCACATCAGACATTTTCCAATCCTCAGGTACTTCCCCGGTGCTCCAGTGTTTATGAAAGATGTGGTACAGCAGTTCTGAGATAACATCTGCCAGCTCTTTCAGAACTCTGGGATGTAGCTTATCGGGTCCCAGTGATTTGTATTCGTCAAAGTTGGATAGGTGTTCCCTTACTATTTTCTTGCTTATTTTAATTTTTGTTTCTAGTATGCATTTTGCAGTGGGTTTTTTTTTGTTATTGGGCTATAGTTTCTTTTTGTGTGAAGACTGACACAAAGTATGAGTTAAGCAGCTCTGCTTTCTCCCCATTGCCTGTAATTTCCTTGCCATCTTCTCTCTTTAGTGGGCCTACAGTTCCCTTGATTTTTTTCTTGGTGTTAATATGTTGGAAGAAACGTTTTTTATTGTCCTTGATTTCTGTTGCAAGTCTTTGTTCATTCTGAGCCTTTGGTTTCCTGACTTCATCTTTGCATGTTCTGGCTGCTGATAGTTGGCTTTAGTTATGTGCCCCTCTTTCCATTTTTTGTATTTGTCCTTTTTGTCTTTTAGTTTGTTAGAGAGAACCATGCTGGTTTCTTCTTGGATTTTTTCTTTTTCTTTTTCAGTGGTATTTTGCTGGTCTGGGCTTTTGTGATCACATTTTTCAGGGTTTCCCACACTTCCTGGGTTCATCCATGGGATTTTTCCTAGATTCTCTTTGAGATTGTTAAAGTCAGCTCTTTTGAAGTTTAGGACATTGGTTGGATTGTTGTCTATTGCTAGTGTTTGCATTATATTAAATTCCAGTATGACATGGTCACTTTTGCCCAAGGTTCCGGTAATTTCTACTCCCTCTATCACTTCTTCTCTGTTTGTAAGGATTAAATCCAGTATAGTTTTACCTCTAGTTCCCTTTTGGGTGACAAAGTTGTCAGCTATCTTAGTTAGGAATGTTTGATCTCCCACTCACTGCAGAGTTTGTGTCCCAGTTGATATCTGGATAGTTGAAGTCTCCCATTACTATTGTGGTATGCTTCCTGCATGCATTTGTTAACTGGTTGGCAAAGAGTTCATCTATTTCTTCTGATTGGTTGGGTGGCCTGTAATATACATCTATGGCCATGTCACTTTTTTTTCTTTTATATTGACCCATATACATTCTGGAGAGATTTTATCTTTGATCATGTGCATTTCTGCAGATATGTAATGTTCTCTTACATATAGTGCAACTCCTCCTTCTCTTTTTGTAGACCTGTTTCTTTTGAGCAATTTGTACTGTATCTATCAGTCCATTCCATTCATGGGTTTCATCCCACCAGGTTTCTGTTATGCCAACCATGTCATACCCTCCCCCATGTACTATTGCTTTTAGTTCGCCCTGTTTGTTCCCCAACAATTTTTGAAAAAAAATGCAGATATTTCCTTTCCCAACAATAACATTTTGAATTGTTAAATATTAATTCTTAAGTAAGAAATGTATTTTCACATAATAGCTAAGCCACAACATAATGTGTTGGGATTGTGATGGGGTAGAAACATGGTGAAGATCACGAGCTTCAGGCCTTCAATCTTTAACAAATCAATTGTTAAAGTAGTGTTTGAGTCCACCGATGAGTGGTACAATGGATAAAAGTGGCTGGCAGGCAGGAACTGTGAAGATAAATGCCAACATTGCTCAATTAGAGAATATATTTTCATCAATATAGCCACAGTCACCAGGTTGGTCCCAACTCTTGACAGGTCTTTGTGTGCTTAAGGTATTTTAATAGACTGGAAAGGGAGGAGGCAAGAGACACTGTTTCTTGGCTTTCACTTAGCATATTGGGTGAGGCCAGCTGTTGGGGTATATAAACCATAGTTTATAGCCTGTTGTGATAGGCAATCCCAGCCAATCATAGCTTTTATTCAACAAATCATGTTTAAGCATGCCATGGGTTAGAACAATGTGAGAACCTGGTCACTAGGAGAGTTTATGAATGTTTTCACTCTTTGTAACTTTGCAAACCTTTGGTGGAAGGTCCATGATGATATGTTAATTCCACAGGTCCTTCAAAATGTTGGAAAATCACAGTCTGGGTCATACTGGGAGGAAGCATTGCTTTGAATGTGGCCCTAATTGTTCTTCTGATATGTAAGTATCTGAGATCAGGAGGGGAGTGGGTTACAGTGATGGATTTCAATTGGAGAGATAAAAGCTCAAATCTTCATTAAGCCCTAGAGTCCAGCCAAACCACTCTCTTCCACCAAATCCATTTCACAGAATCAGAATAGAGCTGGAAGGGACCTTGGAGGTCTTCTTGTCCAACTCAAGCAGGAGACCCTATAACATTTCAGATAAGTGGCTATCATCTCTTCTTAAAAACCTCTAGTGATGAAAAACCCACAACATCCGAAGGCAAACTGTTCCACTGGTTGATTGTCCTCACTAATAGGAATTAACCAGTGGAACAGTTTGCCTTCAGACATTGTGTTGTGACAGAGTTGGCATGTGGGAGTAAAATCTGGGAAAACTTTATGTGGCCCTCATTAATTCCAAGACTGTTCCTGAGCCAATCCCATATTCCTTCAGTTCTTCAAAAGATAACAGGTGAAGCTTTGACCATCAATGTTTCTATGTCATGGAAATGCTTTGTTGGTTGCGTTTCTGGATGTTAAGCTGATTCCATCAGCAGCATCTCCCTTACGTGATCTTGCTGTTTTCCACAAAACCACTAGACCAGTATTGCATGGCTGTGCCTTGAGCTCCACCCCTTTTACACATGCTACTGATGACACATTCTCTGTACAAAGTGGACAGAATTTGCAAAGTAATGCCACAACTCTGCTTTGTAAGTCTGCCCCCCCCATTCTGATACCACTGGTTGATTCCCACTAGGTAGCTACCAGCTGCCCTGTTATATCTTTCTTTTTAAAAATTCCTATAGCCAGGAAGATTGTATTTCCCTAAAGGTTTGGGAGAAACCATTCGTTGACCCTTTAAAGTAGAGCAGAATAGAAAACCGAACTTTTGAATGCTAATATTACTTTTATTATATGATTACAGTAACAGAATCTTGCAAAATTGAATGCTCTTTATCCCTTTCCTCCCTTTATTTTCATGAAAAATAAGAAGGGTCCTGTCTGAGATATTTTATCAAATTACATTTATGTCTGGGATTTAGATTTTTTTTTTATCTGACTATTTCTTACTACATATTCCCCTGTTTAATAGCAACCAGGTCTGGGCTGCAAAAATCCTTACCGTTTCAATTATCTTTATTGGCATAAATTTCAGATTTATAAAATCCATTTTTATGATTGGGTAGTTCTTGTAATCTTGCAAACTAAGCTGCTATTTTGTATTTGCATTTTATATGCAAATGAATGATTTATGTTCTACTTTTGAGCTGAAATAATGATTGAATATATATCATTTCCCATCGTATAACCTAAGCTTTTAAAAAAGTATTTCAGATACAAGGTGTTGTCTACCCATCGACTTCAACCAATTCGTGTGGATGGATCCCAGGTACTTTAATAGGTAATTTTAAATTATTTATTTTGAGGTTTTTTGTGGTTTAATTTTCTGAAGTCAGGAGTTACAATACCGATAGCCAAAGCAAATCAATGTAATTTATCCATAATTTAGAACAAAAGATTGATCCAGTTCTCTATGAATGTCCTGGAAAAGACAATCACAGCAACTTACACTTCACAATAGTAAAAAACTGTAGTCACATGACACATGATTTTACTCAGCTACCCTAATTTTTAAGTTTACACAACACATGCAAAGCCAAATATTCTCATAGGGCATCACACAGAGGTTCTGAACTCTGAGATATCATGACCCCAAGAATGATAAATGGATTTGTGAAATGTCTTTGGCCCCATAAATAAAATTATTTCATTGGGATTATTAGGGCTGGACAAGAAATAAATAAACCCTTTAAATGGATCATAATTTAATTTATCTATACCCAATAAAACAGTCTTAGAATGTTAACAATTTTTTTGGTTTGCTTAACATTTCTAACATCATTTTTTGACAAATACACATTGAGACTGTTTTGCTTTTTAATAAACCCACTTATGGAATCAAAATATACGTCATATACTTTTTAAACTTAGATTTATTTTTATTAACACTATTTGTAGCTTTTTCTCTTAGAATCCAATAAAATCTTGCATTATTTAAATTTCAATAATGCAACAAAACTTGACCATGTAGGGGAAGGGTGTGCATGAATGTCCAATGTCCATTATAATTGAAATTACATTTATCTGCATGAATTTGCATGATTTGTGGCAATGTATATAATTTACATCAGCTACAGATGATGCATCTTTCATCATTTTGCTTTTCTCCTGTAGCTTCCGTGAACTTTGATCCGGAGACTGCTCATCGCCAGATCGTCATTTCTGGGGATCGGAAAACTGCAACATGGGGAAGGGAAGAACAAGCACTTTCTAAAAGTGATAAAAGATTTAACATGCGGGTGTGGGTTCTGGGTCAGCCTGGGTTTAAATCAGGAAAACACTGTTGGGAGGTGGAAATAAAACACGATGGAGAATGGGCGGTGGGAGTTGCCAGGGAGTCAGTGAAGAGAAAAGGAATGACGGATTTTAGCACCAAAGAAGGCATCTGGGCTATTGCAGAACATTTGGAGAAAGCAATTTACGTAGCTTTTACTGAGCCACAACACACCAGGCTTGCTTTGGAAAAGAAGCCCCGGAGGATTCGTGTGTTTGTGGATTACCTCTATCAAGAAGTGGAATTTTTCAATGTAGAAACAAAGACTACCATATTCTTTTTCTCAAACGCATCCTTCTCTGGAGAAATAATCTACCCCTGGTTCCGGGTTTGGGATGGAACTGAGCTGACGCTTCATCCCTAATGCCCAGCACTTAATGAAAAAGGGAGCTCTTTCTCATGCCACTCTGCTGGCTAGGTATGGTGGGAGCTGTGGTCTAGCATATTTGGAAGATGGCCCTGTGGATTATACTACTTGGGATTGTGAACATTATGCAATCATGGCTATTGCAGAAATGCTTACCTCAACCATCCATACAACCTTTCACCTAATACCTTCAGGAAAATTTGGGAATTATAGATAAGTCACCAGTTTGGGGAAGCCTATTCTAGAGTGTATAAAAGGTTGCAACCAAGTTAATTCTCTGCAGTCATAAGAGTAAGATATGCAGATATCTCTGCAGATATGAATAAGCTTCTGTAATTTCAAAGTATGAGTCTTTCCAACAGAGGTCCATTGTATTTCAACAATATTCCCAGCTATGGTCCATGAGAATCACACAGGTTGATTGTGGGGACAGTCACGCAGGTTGGTTGTGATGCAAATTGTGGCTGAAATCTCAAATTTTGGCAGCATTGTTCAGGATTTCAGATAGAGCACAAACATTTTATGTTCCCATGAGTGATATCATGAGATCACAGCACTTGTGGGCATCACACAATCAACTTGCTTATGTAGCAATTTGTGATAAGAAAGTTTGCATGAAGAAAAAAATGGGAATTGTCATCCTTCAATTTTCAGCACCTTAAGTAGTCAAGATAGAATTCCACTCTTGAATCTTAGTGTTCTTTGAAGATTTCCAATACAGATATGATCCAGGTCTGATCTTTCTTATTCACGTAAGGTTAGGCAGATATTGCTACTTTTTGAAATACATTTTACCTAAGCCCAAATGAAATAAACCACATCATGACTTAGGTGATTTGTGAATTTGATCATGTTATTTAGTATTGCAGTAATTTCAGTAGTTTGAACCCAATTTTTGTCATATTTTTAATATTAACTTAGGGGGCTTATACAGTAATAAAGGCCTACTCCCTTCCACAATCATTTAGTTTAGTTAGTTCAGATTCATCATGATGCAGTGGAGATTTCTCCAGGATTGGCAGAACTGTTTCTTTGAGTCCTTGCAAGCTCATTCAGGTGTCACCAGTGACAGCATCCAGCCAACTTGTGTCTGTTGCCCCTGCCCAAACTTTAACACAATCCTTCTAGTATTGAAACGTTCTTGCAGTCCAAGGTGTTCTCAACAATTCTCTCCAGCAAAATGTGGGTTCCTACAAATGTATTAGGGAGTGTAACTCCCGTAATTCTAGCCTTCCAAACAGCTTCTGAAATCTTCCAATAAGTAAATATATATTGTCTGTGAATCTTTTGCCCCATTTGTAACATTCATTGGGTGTTTGCCGACATGTATTCTCAACTGTTAACTGAGGTTCTCTGTCACAGAATCCTTTCTGCCATTGTCCAGGATGGCTCTTTGATGTGTTACAAAGTTTGTAATTGCAGTAAAACCTTTTCTGGGCAACTGTGTCTTTTCTTTGGGGATAGAGATAAAAGTGCAAGAAAGAAGTTACCTTGATGAGCATANGTCTCACCACCCTTGAAAGAGGCTAAAGAGCAACCAAATTGGGGAAAAAAGCCATCAATTTCAGTTGTGCATTGTTCTCAGAAGTATCGCTCTGGGCACTGATTGGGTGTATTTTCAACCTACTTCCGTAAATTAGGCTGCTCTAAGCACTGAGAGTGCCAATATTCAAAGAAAATCGCAATCCAGGTAAATCCAGGCACACAGTGGTTGACCTTCCATAAAGGAAAGTAAAGAGAAAGGGGAATTTAGTTTTTGGGTTCAACTATGTAGTACCGATACTTTGTTTCCTGAATAAAAGATTCTTTAAGGAAAACAATGCCTCAAAGTTCTTTTGAAGGGTTTCATCTATCGGATCCATGATACCCTGAGGATGACCTGTTATCTGTCCTGTACCTCCGTGCGCTCAAAACAACCTTGCAGCACTGTTTTTGCTCCCAGTGGAATGGTCAGCATGGTTAGGTTTAGGAATGGGAAGAATAGCTTGGTGCTTTTCATGGGATCATTAGATTCCACCTGACTTTATTGCAACCACTGTTTCTCAGTAAAAGTTCTTTTGATTAACCACATGGTGTGAAGAGTTGTGCTTTCCTGAGAGGATTAGCTGAGGAAGGTCCTTACAGTCATATCTTATTAAGTACATTAGATAAAGGAAATGTGTCTTTATAATGCTCTCTCTTAATTGGTTTCAGTAGATATATGGTTAGTGAAATTTTATGATTCTTCCTATATATATGGATTATGGTAAAAGAAAGTAATAATTCAAAAGAAAATGACCTCTTACACATGTCTAATATAGCTTATTATATCAATAATAATTGAGACTTCATGTGAGAGAAAGAGAGAGTTCTTAGAACACATAAAGATTTTATTTCCAACTATCCTATTTTATCTTAACAATAATTTGGATAACAAATAACTTTCAAAATCAAGAACCCTCATTATTTTTCATCATTAGATTCTCCTTAGTGAAATGTGAAATGTGAAAAAACAGTCATAAACCACTTTTTTCAGTGCCTGTAAGGACCTACTTCAACCAAGTCTAAAATATATGAAAGACATCAACTTGGCAAAGCCAAATTGTTTTAATGATGTACCACTATCAGAGTAAACGTTGGTAGATCATTTTGGAAGACAAGTCCATTTGGTATCAGCAAAAAAAGGCCAAATAATAAGAGATTTGTAAGATACAATCCTTGCCTGAGTTGCCATCAAAAACCTTTTTTTCATAAAAACGTAAATAAAGGTGACACATATCTAATCATACACGTGATAATGGTGGCAAGGATTCTATTTGCTCAAAAGTGGAAAGCAATGGAAGCACCGAGTGGGGAAGCACTAATAAAGAAAAATATTGCACAGAACTAGACAAGATAACTAAAAAACTAAAAAATCAGGAAGAAACAGAATTTTATCAAATCTGGAATAAATTCTATAAATGGAGGGAAAAAAGAATGGGGTCAACAGAAGAGATAAGTAGAGGTAGATACTAGGAATGTACAGCTGTATATAGATATGTCATATATATTTAAATGTACAGTATGGACTGACAAGACGGAGATGTATGTCAAAGACGATGTACCATGTTCAATGTTTTTAATCTTTTCTTTTTTCTTTTG